CGATGCATACAATGGACTCCGGTTAAGTGCGTTTCTCTAAGTCTTTCTACCAATATTACCATGTCAAACACCTTCTATACAAAGAAAAGAGACTGCGACCACACAAAAGGCCATACCATCTTGGTCTTCATACCTTTAGAAAACTTATTTGAACTGCATCAAACGATCCAAAAATAACGGACAAGCAGGAACAGAAGTTTTAGGAAGATTTGGCGTATAATCTATGTACACAAACAGCTAAAGTGGGGAGGCTGGCTATCTGGGAGTCAGAAGAGGATTACGTGAAATCAGAGAGGATACGGAAGGAGTCTTTAACACAACTTTTAAGCTTGAAAATAAGGTCTGCGTACATCACATTAAACGGCAATGTCTATGGAAAAATTTTTGGAATACGTATGAGATCTGTACTTTTACCATTTCAGGTATTCAAAAAGCCAAGTTTCGATGAAGTTTGGTCATGCGATATCTGGATGACTGCACTTTGATCACATGGCAAGAGAAACTTCAAATGATTCCAAAACTTTCTGAATCAACTTGACAATGGAGATGGAGGAAGATGAGCAGCTACCTTTTCTGGATGTCAGTCATTCGCTCAAACAAACAAATCACGATGGCATGATAATCAACTTTCTGACTTACACGATTACAGATAAAGGACTGAATAATGATGAGATTAGTCATCAGAAACTTAAGAATAATAAAATATTGAGAAGTGAACCAACTCGGATTTTTATTGGCAATGGATACTCCAGAGCAGTACTACAAAAAGTATAAGGTTAAAAAAAACAAGTAGCAACAGAGATATTATGAAAAGAAATCAGAAATAAAAAATAGGATCAGAAGTGGATAAGCCTGTCTTTTTGCAAAATGAATAAAAACTGTGATAAATATTAAGAAAATGGAATATCCAACTAATAACGAAGAAGACGGCGCTCTTCACTAGCTCGACGACGAAACACGTGAACAAACCGGATTGCCCGAGGGTTTCTCGCATACTATGCTGTGAGCAGAAATATGTAAATTAGAAAAATCAGTCCACGAAGGAACACTAAAGCCTTTGCAGAAATATAGATATGGAAGCATCCGAAATTTAAAAAAAACGTTACATGGCCCTCAAGGGACAAGCGAAAATAAAAAGAATGCGCCTGTGGTGATCCTTGTCAAACCAAGTAAGCAGCTACAGCATTTGGGGGTTGGCACACACGAGAGTAGAGGAAAAAAAGTAGTAGAGTTGGCCTTATGGACTAAAATGCGAGCCAAATTCGAACATAATTCCACTTGATAAGTGCAGTAAAAACCAGAGACAATTGTATCACAGTACACGGGTTTGAATATAAGAGGACTGCGAAGTAAAGCCTTGACCATGAGATTTACAACACACAGGCCATTCCGAAATAACAGAAATTACTTTTTTAAATTAGTCTTTCATCCAGCATGAGGATCCAGGCTTTAGAGACCTGTTCGATAAGGCTTTTATAAAACATGGATAGAGTAAATTTCAGACTGAAAGGACCAAGTTAAATTTAAATTGTGAGTACAGAGGGATGAGATAACCATGGTATGATATTGTAAAGGGTTATATCTACTAAAGCAGATGGCTTAGGACAAGGTGGGTCCACTTTGATCTCTCTGACAATGAGACTAAGTTTTCAAAACCATGTAAGGCCCCTTTTAGACGATAGACCATCACTACAATAAAGATCATCATAGCTTCAAGGCAAAATTTTTTGAAAATATGAAACGTGTCTCCTGTCTCAAAAACTTGTCATGCATTTTGAAGCGAAGTGATTTTATGCCGATCAGTAATAGTTACGTATATAAATACAGTTATGAAAAGCTGGTTCTTGAGGAATCCCTTACAAACTTAAGGTGGTTCGGCATTTTTCAAAGAAAAAGTTTGTTGGAAAATATTCATTAATTGGTCTCGAAGGAGGATCGTCTTGAGCTGGATAACATTAAATAGTTCGAAAAAGTCCTCGGCTCACAGTCCTGCGACTAGGATGAATCCATACTAAGCTTTCGTCTGTCATATGAGAGGTTTCGCCGTAGCGATTATCATCCTTTACAAAAAGAGGTGCCAAATGAAAGAGTGGCTGGCTAAATTCATGCTCACTTCCTATACTTAATTAGGCTATCCTAATAAAAACTCATTATTTGGTCAGCTATTTCATGCTTTCCTTACAATCTTGTAGATGGGGGAGATTAGTGCATGAAAAAGAAGTGAATATCTTAAAAGCTCTTCACTTTCCTAAATAAACCAAGATTTGATCTTGCGATTTTAATGTATCTTACGTTATGTGTCAGTGTAATATGTATATAAAAGTATCCAAGTCATGTAGGGTGTAAAAGCACAGGTCAGATTAACTCTTATTTTTCCGCTAATTTGGGAAGTAGAATACCAATTTGCTCATAAGATAAAAAAACGAATTCAATTGCAAAATATGATCAGAAAAATAAGCCAGATAGTTTGTGTGCGATATAAGGGATATTTATTTTAGGTGAGGGAACTGTTGCCCCGATAAAAAGCAAGAAACTGCGGCACAACTCTGAGTAAAATAAAATGCTGATTAAGGTAATAAAAGCAGTGCTATTCGTATATACTGCTTTGACTTGAACTAGCTGTGCTGGTTAAGTCAAAAATCAACAAAATGCTGAATTTTTTTCAAAACAAGCCTAACCAATAGGTCAGAAAATATTAGGACAAAGATAGCATAGAGTAGGACTAAGTGGTTTGAGATGAGAAAATTAAGCAGATAAATAGTTAAGGGTAATCAACCTCACGTTATACATAACTAGTTGAGTAACTAAGATTATAGGACTCACCTTAGAGTAGCTAGAATGGCTGCAGGCCTTGGGTGGCTACCAGTAGGTCGATTTCCAATCACAAAATCAACCTCAAACCGCCCGAATGCATTACAGCGGAAAGCTGCAGTAAAGTAAAAAGAAGAAACATTGTCATCCCCTCTGCTGCTAGCAGTAGTTTCTGGGTATTGCCGATTTTTATCCAATCCACCTGGCGAGATGCGTGGCTCTGAACGACCTTTAGAATCTGATTGTTTAGAGAAATCGGATTCCAAATCACGAATTCTCTCAATCGCATCCTCTTCATCGTCCTCATCAAAGTCTTCAGCCATATCTGTCCCCATTCCTGGACTGATTGACAACCCTTCATTTTGTCGAACACGGCACCCTTTAGCTTGACAATTTCCAGTGGATTCTGAATAATGCTGCACTAAAGAAGCTGGATGCACGATGGTGGGCAGACGGGGAGGTGAGGAAGTGGAATAAAATGTATCTGAGGCGAGCCGTGGAGTCCTGATGAGTAGGTAATGTAAGGATGGGTCTATAGGCCAAGCAGCGGGCCCATTAGAAGCCTTAAAAACAAATAAGATGTAATGATGAAAAAAGGAGCGTAAGAAAAAAGGCACAGGGAATACGGCTTCAGTCGGTCGAGCGCTGCGACCAAGTTCAACTTAAACCGTGGTCGCCAAGTAATCAACGAACAAATTGAATCTGATCAAGAAAAGGACAGAAGCACGGATAGCATAAGATTACAATAAATAACAGTCATGGTTGCAGTATGAAAACAAAGCAGTTAGAAAATTCGCTTATGAAGAAAGATGGGATTGAATGCAAAGATAGCCTCAATGAGGGTGGTGATAGTACTGATACTTAGGAGAATAAAAAGCTTGACTGGTTGGTTGAAGGGATCTAGCGTGCGTATGTTAAATGAATGAAGAGCTTTGAAATATGAAATTTTTATGAGTCTAAGAAGCCGCATCAGAAATGAAATGTCTTTCCACATAAAAGGTTATCAATAATTTGACTAAGAAAAATGAACCAATGGTAATAAAAGAAATAACATAATCAATTGCTTAAAAGATTTGATTTTGCATTCAAATTTATTGAGCTCGTCTAAGTAACATCTATAGTTCCAGCTGGATTTCAATCAGGTAAAAATTCAGTAGACGCAATCCCCTATAAGGCACAGACCCTGCCATGTTGATTTGTGGTACAAAGATATTTTTCAAGAAAAAACACGCCTTCTGTAACCCACATCGCTGGAAAAGCCTTTTGAGTAAAGGCAAATATGTATTTTCTATAAGCTAGGGTATATTTAAGGGTCATTGAGATAAGTCTAAACAAGGACTTTTTCAAAATATGGCTAACTAGCACTGATTCTATAAGAAGCGGCAATATAAGACCCTTAGTGATGAAAAAATAACTATATAAAATCGAGCGATACTAGTCTGACCCCAATTAAAGATTTGAACTCAAAAAGATTTTTTTAGAAAAAAGGCAGCATCCAGTTGCCAGCTGTTGCAAGAAGCCTTGGTAATACTGAATGAAGCAGATAAAAATCGGCACAAAAAATAAAGATCTTATAGATCTTTATATCACTGATAAGAAATACGTTTATCAATAGGGATTCAAGAGGAAGGGCATCATGCAACGATAACATCTTAATAAAAGACCAGATGGCCGATAAAGATAGACTTGGACAATATCAAATAATATAGCAAGTAAGAAGCTTACTGTGATCCATCTGGTTGATCCAACTGCAAACGCTGTGACCGCGTCAGAGCCGATTGGGTCGATAAATCGAATGAAATGGAAGGCTGCGACAGGATGACGTGCAACTAATTGAAAGGATGGATGATGATGAACAGTATCAGTAGATTTCGGGGAATCAAGGGGCCGTTTAACGTGAGATACGCTCAATTTGGAGCTAGAAACGGTATCAAGATAGGCATTTGAGATATCGGATATAGATGAAAGTGGAGTTGGATATTGAGTAGATGGTATCCTGCCCTGACCGGAGGGAAGTGTATCAGCGAGGTTACTACCTGCTTGTTGGTAGATGGCCTCGAGTTCAGTAAAGCCGGCCCTAAGACCGATCACGCGGAAATAAAGGCAGGCAGGTGAAGATTGCTCATCCTTAAGACGGAGCGTTGGAGCTAGATAGTGATTAAATAACAGAAAGCCTAGATGGGAGTCAATGGGATGTTATATAGAAAAATAAGTAATGGGTAAAGGAAAGCAATAAATTATGAACAACACTTACCAGGTATAACCTTTACTATG